AACGCAGGCATTAGTGCTCCCTCCATCTGCTGTCCAGTTTTTAAGTCTGCTTTGGGTTCTTTATAACGGTTTCTGGTTTGTTTGAATCAGTGGTGCCACCCTACTGGCTAGCTCACTGGCCACCCCACTGGCCACCCCACTGGCCACCCCACTGGCCAGTGTAAATTGTAGTAGCATTAGTTTAGCATTTCATCCCATCCTGTTTACTGAGGTCTTTCTGATTTCTACAGGCAGGTTTACCACTATAGTAGATTCAAACCCCGAAATGATGGCTTTTAGTTTTAGTGGCCATCCCAAGATTTTAAGTGGCCCCATCTGGCCCCACATTTCTGGAGGCACCACTGGTTTGAATCGGACCTTGTGTAACATTTGTTATTGTTTTGTCATTTTTATCATGGAAATGAAATGATCACATTTAATAATGTTTGATTTCTGAATCTCAATAAATTTGAAACAAATGCAAAGCTGTGAACTTTTTTTCATGAACTTTACCTTTTATGAATGATTCATATAAACTATGTGCTCATAATTACTGAGCAAACAGCTAATTAACATTTCCCTATTGTTGATGTTACTTTGCTGTTCAGTTGGTAACAACAGCAAATGTCAGTTATGGTTCTGGGGCTATTAAAATGATCAAACATTTAGGGAATGATTTCAGTGGCTTTAATTTTTTTGCTAATTTTGAATTCAGCTACAAGCCGATGGCTTAAACTAAAGAAATATGTTATGATTATTTAACCCTTTATAGTTGTAAGTTTGCGTTTTTGATGACTTGCAGCAATAGATCTATATCCAGCCATCCAAATACACTGCTACATGGCTGTCATCTTATTTTGGCATTTGACCCATTAGATGAGCCCTTGAATGATAGATTACCTTCTTGAATTTAATTTGGAAAAAAGCTAACAAGAAAAAAAGGTAAAAGGCTAATTGAAAAAAAAAAAAATGTAAGTGCCAGTTAGGGCTGCCACCCGTCACTTCAAAGACGGAATCGGCCTGTATTTGACAGTTAAATTACGCGTCCCGTATAGAACTGATAAGGGATGCTAGTTGTTCCGTATTTTCATGAATAACTAAAAAATCAGTAATTTCGGTGGCACTTAAGCACAGAACGACGCTACTGCTGCGAGCATGACCCATGTCTGATTCTGTATCCCTACGTCTTGTAGCTAGCGCTTAGAGTTCTACTGTTCTTGATTCTCCTTCCCCCTATGATGTTGTCTGTCTAAAGCATTCTCCACTCGGTAATCTCTCTTCTTGGGGCATTTGTGAAGGTTTCCTGGGGACGGTCCTCGTGTTTAGTTCTAGTTCTACAAACTGCTCATAAGCCAATAAAAAAAATATAAAATACAATACAGGTAATCTTCCCTATAGCCCAAAAACTCCTACCAGGCCAAGCACGGCATTGGTTTTGTGAGAGGATTTCTGTGAGCAATCATACTGTGCAAACTTAACATTTCCGTTTATCAATTATTTTAATTGGGTGTAGCTTATTTCAAGAAATACAAGTCACCCTCAAAGAACACAATAAAAGTATGGTTCTGTGTTGAGCTGAAACGGGACAC